TTCAAAATATTATTAAGCTTATATATGAAAACTTATATTAAATAACATGCAATTTCATACATATGCTGACCCTCAAGTATAGACCTTAAATATTATTTAAAATTTCTATAAATTGCTATAACTTTCTGTCAAATTCTTCACATTAAAGTCTTACCAAAATATCATTGAAAATGTTTAATAAATTTTATCATTTTAAATGACTTCATCACGATAACTCAACCGCTAAATTATTGTTTATTGTTAATTTGATGTGTAAGCCGCAGAAGCCACAAAGCTTAACCCATTATAATTGCCTCCATGCTCCAGCTTGCTCAGAGTTATACCATCAAAAATTTACATAAATATACATACATTATATGTACATATATATGTATATGCATGTCTATATCCGCTTATATTATTTAACCAGCTACGAAACATTTGTTAATGTAAAATATAATACCATCCGCTTGATAATAAATTGCTCTTATGAGCAAAAACAACAACAACAACAAACCACACAACATGAAAAACAAAATATACAAAAAAGAAAAAAAATAATACAAAACGGAATTTATGGTAGAGCAGGCGTGTTTAAAATGGGGCGGGGGATGCCGCCTATTGAAGGGGGAGGTTGCAAAGCAACGCAAGTGGCGGCTTTTTAAAGCAACATTAATCATAGCTCATGGGAGCCAGACACAAAGGTTCACGGTTCGCTGTGGTTGTTGTTGTTCTTGTTGTTTAAATTATTTAAAGTACCGTAAAGTGCAGGGGCTAGAGAATTATGAGAGCCACTGCGACAGCTAGCGAAAACAGCTGAGACGTTCAGAAAATGTTCTATCATAAATTAAACAAATGTGCAAAATCGGCATAAACTAACTCCCCCTACAGCTAATGGCAATTGCATATATGCACGTAATTTTAATCAGTTCTCTCTCTCTCTCTTTCTATCTGTTTATCTTTTCACAGCAATCACTGCTAGCGGGTCGCATACCTGTGGCCTCCATGACGGGACCAATTAAACGCGGACTGCTGTGGCAGCAACGGGATCGTCTCTTCTCGCGCTGGAAGGAAAGGTAAGACATGCAAATATCGCTGGACTTATAAAGAGTCCAAGAGCTAATTAATATTTAAGTTTGATTTGGG